TGTGTGTGTGTGTGTGTGTGTGTGTGTGTGTGTGTGTGTGGGTTGGTCGAGTCCGCTCATATAACATGTCCGTTGGTGTGACAAAACGCTGGCAGTTATGAATACCTGATTAAATTCATGGTTTTATCAGGGGCCTAGTATACGTCTCGTTTTGGTTGCTGCGATGTGCCCTGCAGAAGTTACTGCTGATGAGACCCAACCAGGTCGGAACACCTGTCCAGCTGTGCTTCCCAACTTTTCAGCTCACGCCTCATTTTTACACAACAAATGCATCATACGATCAAATCAAATCCTTTATTCCTCTCCCAAAGAATTAGTCAGACAGTCAATACTTTTATAATAATACTTTAAAGCCCCGTTAGATTTACCATACCAAGAGAATTTGAGGAAATTAGCAAAATCATCTCCAATGATCTTTCAAAATCTTCCCGTTTTGATAGAAAACTTAGCAATATAGCTTTCTGAACATACAAGCGAGCCCTCAATATATGCGTTTAACCAAGATTCTTGAACACGAAGCACAAAATTGTTGGTGAATGCGATAATTTAAAAGGTTACCTGAGCCATCTTTCTGAATGCGGATTGGACGTTTGTGCTGACTACAGAAGGGCACTCTGTCATCCAGTTGATCTACCTTTTGTTCTTCTATTCAGTTGGCTAGGGTGATTCAGCGGCGAAGCATAATTTGATGCATTTATAAAAGTGAAGTGGTCAATTCACAAGCACTGATGGTGCCACCTCGGCTGGTGAAGAAACGTTCGCAAAAAAATTGCCAAGCTCGGTGAACAGGCGAAATAGAAATCATTCGTTCAATTAGCAGATCCTTCTACAATGTGACGTGTCCTGGATAGACTAGAAGGTGCAAATCTTTGAGCACTCTAACTGCATTTCTCTTTAGGACCAACAATGACGAGCATTAAAACTTAGTATTTCTAAAAACTATTCTTTTGGGGGCTATATACTATATGCCAAATATGATGTTCTACGAAACGGGTTACTTAACGTAAAAAACGCTGGAGTCGACCTTCTACCTGAAGATAGAGTCATAGACTTATAGTATGCCGATGATATCGCCTTACTCGGTGACAACGCACCGGCGATTCAAGAGTCGTTGAATCGTTTGGTAATTGAGGTTACTTGTTATACTATATCTTTTTTACCTTTAAATTGCAAAGTGTTATTGCAATATTGGCAATATCGGCTGTTCCTTCACTTTCGATGGATAATGACACCCTGGAAGTAGTCAAAAACTTTGTTTACCTCGGGAGTTGCATAACAGCTTGCGGAGGAGCGGGCGAGGAGATCTCTCAACGCGTATGTACTACGCAATTGTACGCGCCGTCTTGCTGTCCGAGAAGATTATGCTCAACTACTATTTGTGTTCGACAACCGTTTTCTGCGCAACATCTCCCGCTTACGGTGGGAGCAT